TAATTTAAAACATCTAAGTTTTTATAATACAAACTAAGTATGTGACAAACACAGTAATGTCATTTGACTCCCAGTAAATGCACATGTGTAATCTTTGGCATCTTTACAGACCTCAGCCATGTTAGTTTTTGCTAAGATCTCTTCAAAAGTATACTATAGAACAGGCCAAATATTTTCATACATTTGTCTCCTCTTGTAAGAGTCCAAATGTGATCAAAAAGTGAAAAAAAAAGTATTATCAAAGCTGGAAATATTTTATGTATAAAGGGCAGATAAGTATGAAAATATTTATTCTCAGATGTTGCATCATGCACTATAAAGTTTCATGTTCAGTTAAAAATGACAAGTTCTTCTAGTTATCATGTTTTACTCACATTCTGTTGGGTTACAGGATCAAAACCTAGTGCCAAACATGCTTGATCTTTCAGCAATGAGGCTGTTATAACTTGATGGTCAATCCCACTATTCATTGGTTAAACAGTAATCCAATAATTGGCAATCGGTGCTCCCAGCCAGTTGTCTTACGTCTGTTTGGCAGTTCAAAATTAGAGACAGTGATAGATAGTCGTAGTAACATTGCTATAAACAAAACAACAAAAATGACAAATAAGAATTTTTATATACAGAAGAATGTTGAGAACATAAAAAAGTTAATGTATATTGAGTGTAGGTCATACTGTTTGACGTAGTAATTTTATTTATCTTAACACAGTCAGTAATGTCAAACTAGAAAAAGGAGTATAATCATTGGAATGAGCTATTATTTAATATTTGTGCCATCCATTTACTGAATGATTTTAACCTGTATTTCTTAATGTACAAAAACCCATCTTTAAATTGTAAATTAAAAATTATTTTGTCAAGCTTGAACAATATAATTAATACATTTATGTGAGCTTGTGTAATGGTTATATATTGTAGAACAAACAAAAATTTCTTGTTGTTTCTGTAGTAGGTAGATCTAACAAAGTAAAAATGTTTCCTTGACGAAAATTGCATATATTTACCATTGTATATGGACTTTCAAATGCATACCAAATCTAGGAATCCTAAAAAGCAGAGAAGTTACTTATGATTAAAAAATAGTGGTAAAAAGTAAACATACTGTACTGTGCAAAAGTGTTAGGACAAAATAAAAAAATATATTTCAGGCTACTTTCAAAAAATAATTGGAGGTAAATCACTGGTGAAACATCAAAATTTTATTAATCTTCAAACTTAGTACAACAGAAACTCAGTGGAAGTACTTGAGTTCAGTAAGCAGTTAATATTTTGTGTGTCCTCGTTTTCCTTTAATAACTGCAGACAGTCTTTTAGACATTGTTGCAACATATTTAATCAAAGTGTCCTTTTGAATTTTACTCCAAATGTCTCTAATATACTCCCATAAAGTTTCTTTGGAAGTAACATTTGATTTGTCAAGTTTTTGATCTGTCAAATCCCAGATCTGCTCAATTGGGTTGAGATCGGGGCTCTGTGGGGGCCATTGCATCATTTGAATGACTCCAGCAGCTTCTTTCTTAGCTATGAAATTTCTGGATTGGTTGGATGAGTTTTTGGGGTCATTATCTTCATGGTAGTAGAATCCTTTACCAATAATACGCAAACCACTGGGTATATCATGATGGATCAGTATCTGATGGTACTTGCACTGGTCAATTATTCCATCTATTTTGCAAATATCTCCAGTTGCCTCAGCAGAAAAACACCCCCAAACCATCACACTGCCTCCCCCATGCTTCATGGTAGGTGCTATGCATTGAGGTAAGTATCTTTCACCTTTCTT